ACGGGTTGAGGGCGGTTCCTTTCCAAAACGTGGCTCTCGCCGTAGCGTCGCGCACATCCTTTGCAAGTGTTCACGGATGGCGGGCGGGTGGTTTTTCAAAACGTGGCTCTCGCCTCAGCGCCGCGCACGATCTTTTTCATTGGCAAAAGACGATTCAAACAAAACCAATCACGGATACAGGGCGGGTGATTTTCAAATGTGGCTCTCGCATTAGCGCCATGAGCATTGTTTGCAAAACATGAAAGCTTTACGGATGGATGGCGGTTCCTTTTCAAACTGTGGGCCTCGCTTTAGCGATGCGCACACTCGTTTAAACAAATTGAGAGAGCTGCGCGGTTTGAAGGCGGGCCGTTTTCAACATGCCGCCCTCGCCTGAGCGCCGCGCACACTCGTCTTCAACATTTGCACCAATCTCACGGATGGAGGCCGGACAAGTTTCAACACGTTGCTCTCGCTTTAGCGCAGCGCGCGCTATTTTACATGTACAAGAGCTTCACGGGCGGATGGCTGCTTGTTTTCAGAGTATGGCTCTCGCCGTAGCACCAGGCACGTACGTCTCAAAAGCTTGTAGCGGCTTCATGTCTTCCAATGGTTGGTGTCCCCCAAATGTTTAGTCGGCTGAATGTAAGGCTAACGGGGGCGCAAGCGTTACAGTGACGATGTTCTGGTGGCACGATAGGGGATCAAGACGCAGCGGTCACGCTGATTCGCAGGGTCGGAATCCCAGGCATTGTGTTCGGGAGCGGCTCAGGATTTGCAGACGGTTGTCTTCCAACGGGGCACTTCCATCAACGAGAATGCATCCAGAATCGTTGATGAGTCTTGGGTGTACACTGGTCCTACTGCTCCTGTCTCCCTCGTCTCCTCCTCCTCCTGCTCTTGTCTCCCTCTTTCTTCCTCCTCCTCCTCCTCCTCATCCTCCTCCTCCTCCGCCTCCTCCTCATCCTCCTCCCCCTCCTCCTCCATCCTATTCCTTATAGATGCTTCATCCCTGTCACACCCGGCAACGGTCGGAAGGGATGGCCGGGAGTTTCGCCTGAGACTTCCTCACCACTTCCGACCCTGACGCATAACACTTGAAGACAGTCTCACGGATGGAAGGCGGGTCGCTTCCAAAACGGGTCCTCGCCTTGGCGCCACGCACATTCGTTCTCAGAAGGTGCAACAGCTTCACGGATTGATGGCGGTTCCTTTTATCGAAGTGTGGCTCTCGCCTTAGCACCGCGCACATTCGTTGTAAACATGTGCCACAGCTTCACGGATTGAGGGCAGGTGGTTTTCAAAATATGGCTCTCGCCTTAGCGCTGCGCGCCTTCGTCTTAAAGTTTGCAAGACTTTCACGGATCGAGGGCGGAGCGCTTTCAAAATGTGGTTCTCGCCGTAGCGCTGTGCACATTCGTATTAAAGTTCGCAGTTGTTTCATGGACTCTCATGGTTAACGTATCAGAATTGGTGTTAGGACAAATTCCTGATTGTCAGGGCGCAATAATTATGTTGATTGGCGGTGTTGAAGTCTCAGGAATGATGCTCTGGCACAGTGTAGGATCGGCAAGACTTCACAAAAAGGTGAACCCGTGGCGTTGAATTCCTGAGAGTGGTGCTTTGGAACGCTTCGGGATTTTTCCACGGTTGTCCCCCAATGGGGCAGTTGCCCCAATGGAAATGAACGCTTGTAGGGGCCTATGAGGAAGGAGCTTGGAGTGAGGGTGTATCCCAACAGCGTTGATGAGTCTTGGGCTTGCAGTGGTCCTCCTCCTCCTCCCCCTCCACCTCCTCTTCCCCTCCCTTGTCCTCCTCCTCCTCCTCCTACTTTCCTCCTCCTCCATTCCTGCTCCTTACAGATAACTCTTCCCTGTCGCACCCCGAGGCTGGTCGAATGGGCGGGCCGGGCGTTTCGCCTGAGACTTCTTCACCACTTCTGACCCTGATGCATCAACAGAAACTGAAAACGGTTTCGCACATGAAAAATGAACAGTTTTTCTAATGTGGCTCTCGCTTAGCGCCGCGCATATTCGGTTTAAACATATCAACAGCGTCACTGCCTGAATGTAGATCGTTTTCAATATGTGCCTCTCGCCACAGCGCCGCGCACACTCGTGCTAAAAACTGCACGAACTTCACGGGTTGAGGGCGGGTGGCTTTCAACATGTGAGTCTCGCCATAGCGCCGCGCACATTTCATTATACAGAATTGCAAGAGCGTCACGGGTTGAGGGCAGGTCGTTTTCAAAATGTGGTTCTCGCCATAACGACGCGCACATTCGTTTAAATATTTGCAAGCATTCACGGAGTTAGGGCGATTCGTTTTCAAAATGTGGCTTTCGCCTCAGCACCGCGTACAAGAGCTCCACGGCATGAGGGCGGGTCGTTTTCAAAATGTGGCTCTCGCCTTAACGACGCGCACATTTGTTTAAATATTTGCAAGCATTCACGGAGTTAGGGCGATTCGTTTTCAAAATGTGGCTTTCGCCTCAGCACCGCGTACAAGAGCTCCACGGAATGAGGGCGGGTCGTTTTCAAAATGTGGCTCTCGCCTTAACGACGCGCACATTTGTTTAAATATTTGCAAGCATTCACGGAGTTGGGGCGATTCGTTTTCAAAATGTGGCTTTCGCCTCAGCACCGCGTACAAGAGCTCCACGGATTGAGGGCGGGTCGTTTTCAAAATGTGGCTCTCGCCTTAACGACGCGCACATGTGTTTAAGATTTGCAAAAACTTCATGGATTGAGGGCGATTCGTTTTCAAAATGTGGCTCTCGCCGCACATTCGTTTTAAAGCGGTGCAATAATTTCACGGAGTGAAGGCGGGTCGTTTTCAAAATGTGGCTATCGCCTCCGTGCCACGCACATTAGTGTGAAACGTTTGCAAGGGTTTCTTTGGTTCTCCTGATTAACGTACCAGACATTGTGGTTTGGAGCGGTTCTGGATTGTTAGGCCCAACAATTGCATTGATTCGTTGTGTTGAAGTCCCAAGAGCGGTGTTCTGGCACGATTTGAGATCACCAAGACGTAACAGTCAGGTTAACTCGTGGCGTTGAAATCCTGAAAATGATGCTTTGGCACGCTTCAAGATGTTCACACGTATGTCCCCCAACGGGGCAGTTGCCCTCAGTGGAAATGGCCCTTGTAGGGGCTTGTGAAGAGGGAGCTTGGAGGGAGGGTGTATTTAAACATCGTTGGTGAGTCTTGGGTTTGCACTGGTCCTCCTCCTCCTCCTCCTCCTCCTCCTCATCGTCGTCCTTCTCTTCCTCCTCCTCCTTCTTCCTCCTTCTCTCCCTCCTCCTCCTCCTCCTCCTCCTCCTCCTCCTCCTCCTCCTGCCCTCCTACTCAGTCTTCCCGCCCGTCCGGTGCCTCGGACGCGGGCAGCTTCCCTGGATAGGCCCGCTCCGCGTACGACAGCTCAGAGATGCCCTGGCCTGGGCGCGGCGTCGCCAAGCCGTCCTCGCAACATTATTGTTGGGGCCGGCTCCTGGTGCACCCCCTCCTCCTCATGCTTCTTTTTTTTCTGCTGCTGCTGCCGCTGCTGCTGCTGCTCCTCGTCCTCCTCTTCCTTCTCCTCCTCCTCCTCCTCATCCTTTTCCTCTTCCTCCTCCTCCTCCTCCTCTTCTTCCTCATCCTCGTCCTCGTCCTCGTCCTCGTTCTCGTCCTCGCCCTCGTCCTCGTCCTCGTCCTCGTCCTCGTCCTCGTCCTCGTCCTCGTCCTCCTCCTCCTCCTCCTCCTCCTCCTCCCCTGAAGGTGCTCCTCCTTCTGCTGCGACTGCTGTTCAGCCTCCTCCCCGTGAGCGTGCTCGTCCTGCTGCTGCTGACCCTGCTGCTGCTGCTGCTTCTGCGGTTGCTGCTGCTGCTGCTGCTGCTAGTGCTGCTGCTGCTGTTTCTCCATTCCTCTTTCCTTATAGATATTGATAACTCTTCCTTGTCGCACCCCGAGGCTGGTCGAAAGTGCGGGCCAAGCGTTTCGCTTGAGATTTCCTCACCACTTGCGACCCTGATGTTGAAAATTTTGCCACAATTTCACAAATGGGGGCTTTCGCCTCAGCACCGCGCACATTCGTTCTGAAAACCTTGCAAGAGCTTCGCGGATTGAGGGCGGGCCGTTATGAAAATGTGACTCTCACCCTAGCACGGAGCGCATTCCGGTAAAAACCTGCAAGATGTTCACCGATTGAGGGCGGGTCGTTTTCAAAATGTGGCTCTCGCTTAGCGACGCACGCATTCGTTCTAAAAAGCTGCAAAAGTTTCACTGATTGAGAACGGGTCGTTTTCAATGTTTGATTCTCGCTTTAGCGCTGCGTACACTCGTTTTAAACACTCGCAACATCTTCATGTATTGAGGGCGGGTCGTTTTGAAAATGTGGTTCTCGCCGTATCGCCGCGCAAACTCGTCTAACACAATAACAAGGAATTCAAGAATTCAGGACGAATCGTTTTCAAATTGTGGTTTCGCCCTAGCGCCGTGCGCATTCGTTTTAAACATTGCAAGAGCTTCACTGATTGAAGGCGGATCGTTTTCAAAATGTGGCTCTCGCCTTGCGCCGCGCCGCGCACATTCGTTGAAAAACGGCAAGAGATTGACGGATTGAGGGCTGCTCGTTTTCGAAATATGGAACGCCTCCGCGCCGCGCGCATTCGTTTGAAAGATCTGCAAGAGTTTCTTTCGTTATAATAGTTAACGTACCAGAAAAACGATTCCGGATCGTCAGGCCGAAGAGTTACGCTGATTCGCGGTACTGAATCCCCAGGAATGGAGTTCTGGCACGATGCAGGAGCACCAAGACGTAACAGTCAGGTTAACCAGTGGCGTTTATATCCTGAAAGTGGTGCTCTGGCACTCTTCAAGATGTTCACACGGTTGTCCCCAGACGGGGCAATTCCCTCAGTGGAAATGACCCCATGCAGGCGCCTGTGAAGAGGGATCTTGGAGGGAGGGTCTATTTCAACATCGTTGTCGAGTTTTGGGTTTACACTGGTCCTCCTCCTCCTCCTTTTTCTTCGAGCGTTGCCGCGGCTTCTCCCCCGCGGGCGCTGGCTGCCACGCTGGCTCAGCGACTTGCCTAAAAAAACTCATACGTCACCATCCCCTCCTCCTCCTCCTCCTCCTCCTCCTCCTCCTCCTCCTCCGTGGTCCACGCGAAACAGCGCGTGACCTGTTTGTGACAATTCGCAACCAAACCCCCTTCCCCCGTAGAATCCGCCGACCCCTTGGGGTTCATCGGAGTGTGAATTGTTTCCCCCTCCCCCTCCCCTGGGAGCCCGGTCTGGTCGATTTGGAAAGGGGGGGCTTCCCTGGGATCCGGGTGAACGCGCCCGTGGGGGCAAAGGCCCCCCAAACGGGCCAAGAGGGTCCCAAGAGGCCCTTGGGGCGGCCCACGAGGGCCACGAGTCGCTGAAAGACCGATCCAAAGCACCCGCGCTGGCCTCCAGACGGCCCAAGAGGCCCCCAAGACGCCCCAAGAAGCCCCCAAGAGGCGCCCCAAGATGGCCTCCAGAAGCAAAAATCCCGTTGACATTTTGGCACAGTCGCCCTTGGGCGTTCATAACGTCCCAGGCGGCCCAAGAGGCCTTTAAGATCGCCCCAAGACGGGCCAAGAGGCCCACGAGAGGGCGCCAAGACGACCCAAGAGGGCCCCAAGACGGCCCAAGAAGCCCACAAGACGGCCCAGGAAGGCCCCAGGACCGCCCCGAGAGGGGGCCCAAATGGGGAACCCGAACGGACATTTCGAGTCTTCCACCCGACGCCTCTGGGTTGCCCCAAAAAAGCCCCCAACAGGCCCCCAGGGAGCCCAAATATTGCCGCAAAAAGTCCCCAAGAGTCCAAGAGGCCCCCAGGAGGCCCCCAAGAGGTTCAAAACTGCCTTCAAGACTCCCCAAGGACGTCTCCCACGAGACCCCATCAGTCATCCGACTGGCCTCCGACCCGCAATCCAGCCGTCAGTAGACGTGGGCTCTCGCACGTTTCCCCATGGGTGCACGGCGAATACTGAGAATGTCAGCCCAAGAGGCCCCGAAAAGGCCACCAAGAGGCCCCCATGAAGCCCCAAAAGAGCTCCAAGAAGCCCTCAAAAAGGCGCACAACAGGCATTCAGGAGCAACGCACAACAACCGCCAATTCCCCAAAGGGTCGGCGGTGTGGTGTAAATTCGAGAGTCTGCACAGCGGCGGGCTTGGATGCCGCGGATCCGATTTCCGTCCGTCACGCGGCCTGTTTCAATTTTATTATTCAAGAACAAGATATAATTTTGATCCGTGTTGAAAGACAACAAAGGCATGCATAACTTCCAAAGCATCCGGAATCAGGTCCGCGCAGAGAGAAATTGGATCCACCACAACACACATCCAAACCAAATTCGGATTCGCACCAACTTGTTCGCGCAAAATCCATTTCAGGCGCGACGGCGCAACAGCTGAAAGCATCATGTCCGGGCCCAAGAAGAAAATTATCCCGGCAAAGCAACCTAACAGCGATGTGTAGAAGCATATCTGAAAGCATTCCCCTTAGGATTCAGATGAAAATCCAGTTGTCGAATTCTGCTGTTCTCGCAGTCGTAGTCGCATTCGCGATGACAGTCGCAGCGGCAACGGCAGTCGCAGTCACAGCCTCAGCCTCAGCCTGCCTCCTCCTCCTCCTCCTCCTCTTTCTCCTGCTCCTCCTCCTCCTCCTCCTCCTCCTCTTCCTCCTGCTCGTCCTCGTTCTCGTCCTCCTCGTCTTGCTCGTCCTCCTCCTCCTGGTGCTCTCTCCTCCTCCTCCTCCTCCTCCTCCTCCTCCTCCTCCTCCTCCTGGTGGTCCTCGTTCTCCTCCTCCTGGTGCTCTCCCCCCCCCTCCTCCTCCTCGTCCTCCTCCTCCTCCTCCTCCTCGTCCTCCTCCTCCTCTTCCTCCTCCTCCTCCTCCTCCTCCTCCTCCTGGTAGTCCTCCCCCTCCCCTCCTCCTCCTCCTCCTCCTTCCTGGTCGTCCTCGTTCTCGTCCTCCTCGTCTTGCTCGTCCTCCTCCTCCTGGTGTTCTCTCCTCCTCCTCCTCCTCCTCCTCCTCCTCCTCCTCCTCCTGGTGGTCCTCGTTCTCCTCCTCCTGGTACTCTCCCCCCCCCTCCTCCTCCTCCTCCTCGTCCTCGTCCTCCTCCTCCTCCTCCTCCTCCTCTTCCTCCTCCTCCTCCTCCTCCTCCTCCTGGTACTCCTCCCCCTCCCCTCCTCCTCCTCCTCCTCCTCCTCCCTGGTCGTCCTCCTCCTCCTGGTCGTCCTCCTCCTCCTGCTCGTCCTCCTCCTCCTCCTGCTCCTTCTTCTCCTGCTCCTCGTCCTGCTCCTGCTCGTCCTCGTCCTCCTGGTCTTGCTCGTCCTCCTCCTCGTCGTGCTCTTGCCCCTGCTGAAAATGTGGCCCAGGAATGGGAGTTCTGGGAAGTCGAAGAGCACGAAGTTGCCTACAGTTGGCTACGGGCATTCAAAATGTGGCCCGGGAATGGAGTTCTGGGAACTCGAAGAGCACGAAGTGGCCTACAGTTGGCTCCGGGCATTCAAAATGTGGCCCGGGAATGGAGTTCTGGGAACTCGAAGAGCACGAAGTGGCCTACAGTTGGCTCCGGGCATCCAAAATGTGGCCCGGGAATGGAATTCTGGGAACTCGAAGAGCACGAAGTGTGTGACTGTTGCATCCGGTTATTCTAAATGTGGCCCGGGAATGGCGTTCTGGGATGTCGAAGAGCACGAAGTGTGTGACTGTTGCATCCGGTTATTCAGAATGTGGCCCGGGAATGGCGTTCTGGGATCTCGAAGAGCACTGTGTGACTGTTGCATCCGGGTATTCAGAATGTGGCCTGGGAAAGTTCGAAGCGAAGAGCACGGCGACCCCGGCACCCTGCCGCCCGGCAACTCCCCAACACCTGCCCGGACCCCCCTGTGGAGTGATCTGTGAGCTCTTTTGAGTCAACTAGAAACCTATCAGTCTTCGCTGTTAGGTAAAAATGTCGTCTTGGGAATGCAGTGCCGGCGTCAAGAATTTAGGCCCGCGCGCATGTGTTTTGAAGTGCGCCTCAACTATGGTGCTAGGTTCGGGCCGCGTAACGTCACACGCTTTTCCCTCCATCGGCGACGTGACGGTACCGTCGTGAGTGATAGTAAGGAACACTGTCTACTGGCCGTCGGCCCATTCCGACACACCTTCCCAGCGGGTGCCCGCTGCAGTAGGGCAGGAAATCCATTACATGCGCGTGCGAGGAAGGGGGGGTATTAGATTGCAACATCAGTGACTGTTGCGTCGTGGATTCACTCTGGCCCTCCTCCTCCTCCGCTTTCTCGTTTTCGTTTTCCTCTTACTATTCCTCCTCCTTCTCCTCCTCCTCCTTCTCCTGCTTCCTCACTCTTGTCCCCCAGTTCTCACTACACTTTTTCCTCCTCCTCCTCCTCCACCTCCTCCTCCTTCTCTTCCTCCTCCGGTCCTCCCTGGCGCCTTTGCATCTGATGCTGGCTCGATGCTTGCCTCCATCCACCATTGCTCCTCTTCTTCCTTCTTTTCCTCCTCTTCATCTTCGTCCTTCTGCTTCGTATCGTCGTCGTCGTCGTCCACCTCCATCCTTTGTCTTACAAATAGCTCCTCCCTGTCGCAACCCCAAGGATGTCGGTAGCGCGGGCCGGGCGTTTCGCCTGAGGCCTCATCACTATCTATGACCCCGAAGCTTGACATGTGTAACAGCTTGACGGTTGGAGGGCGGACCGTTTTCAAAATGTGGTTCTCGCCTTAGCGTCGCGAATATTCGCTTCAAAAGTTTGCAACAGTTTCACGGAGTGAAGGCGGGTCGTTTTCAAAATGTGGCTCTCGCCTTCGCGCCGCGCACATTCGTCTTAAAAGTGTGCAGCAGTTCCACGGATGGAAGGCGAGACGTTTTCAAAATGTGGCTTTCACCTGAGCACCACGGCCATTCGCTTCAGAAGTCTGCAACCATTTCACGGATGGAAGGCGGGTGGTTTTCAAAATGCGTCTCGCGCCACAGCGCCGCGCACACTCGTTTAAACATGTACAACAGTTTCGCGGATAGAGGGCGAGTGGCTTTCAAAATGTGCGTCTTGCCCCAGTGCCTTGCACATTAGTCCTAAACGTTTGAAGGATTCGTATGGCTGAAGTCCCAGGAGTTGTGTTCTGGCACGATTTAGGATTGTCCGGAGGTAGCAGTCACGTTGGGCCGCCATGCTGGACTTCCAGGGATGGTGTTCTGGCACGATCTAGGACTGTCAGGACGCAACAATCATGTTGACACGCGGCGCTGGTGTTGCAATAGTTGTGCTTTGGCGTGATGCTGTGAACATTATCAAACGGCTGTCTTCCACTGGGGCACTTCCCGCAATGAAGATAAATTATTGGAGGGACCTATGAAAAGGGAACTTGGAGGGAAGGTTGATTGCAACATCGTTAATGGGTCTTGGGTTTACACTGGTCCTCCTCCTCCTCCTCCTCCTCCTCCTCCTCCTCCTCCTCCTCCTCCTCCTCCCCCTCATGCGGTCTTCCCTGATACCCTTGTACTTCGAGCCCGCTCGGATGCCATGCCCCCCTCTCCGCCTCCTCTGCTTCACCATCCGCCTCCCCCCGAGGTCCTCCCTGACCGTCTTGTACAGGCCGTCCGCCCAGACCCTGATGGCCGTGGAAGACGGCTCTGACACCGACGCCGCCATCGTGGAGTCCGCGCTCGTGCCCTCGGAAGGCTGATATGACGGCGGCGACTCCGGAGCCTCCACCTGGGAAAACCAAACGCACCGATACTTTACTCCCTGGCCCTCTCCCTGGGCGCGTTCTGACCAGAGTTTCGAGGCGACTTGACTTCAGACGTGGCGACCAGGGCCTCCCAGGAAACCCGAAAAAGGCGAACACGACGGAAGGGTAGCGGTATCGAATGAAGCGCAGCGGTATCGGTACCATTTCCTCCTCTGACCACCTCCGCCGCAAGCCATGACCGCGAGGGCGAGCAGTGCGGCAGGTCGCCGCACCCCATCAGCGGGCCGCGGAGGGGTCGGGCGCCATCTGCCAT